AGTGCTCGGATGAGCGACCACCACGCTTGTATAACGGGTGCTATATAGGCTGTGCCACCCTGTTGTTCTGTACTCTTTGCTAACATATATTCTCGGCCACCTTCACCAACCCGCACTGACCAGCATGGTGACGTATCGACAGATAACTCCCACGACCTTCATGGCATGGCGAGGCCCTCATCCAGCAGTGGATTGACAAAGGGGCCGCACGTGCGCGTGTACAATCCCAGCCAGTTTGGCTAATTTCATCATTCCTCCAGGGTTGATAAAAAATGTGTACCACGTTGTGAGAAGTCGACTGGTTGTACCATGGCACAGTTCCCTTCATAGGGAATCTAGGGGCACCATGGTGGCGAGATGTTAACGATCTTACCTGGTGTGCAGGAGGTTGTAGGTTCGATCCAGACCAAGACGCCTACTGCTGTATATTTGGAGTTTGCATGTTCCCCCCGTGGTCACGTGGATTTCCTCCCGCATCCCCCTAGTTTTCCCTCCCCATTTAGAATCAACTTGCATTTAGAATATTTGGCTGATATAAATTGCCACAATAAGCCACATTCGTTGAGCTATCGTTTTTATTTATTGTATTAATAATTTTTATGCGGCCTGTTGCAAACGCTGTGTTTTACAGTTTGTTCCTTTGTTCATGAAACCTGATTCAAGAGCTTCTTAGCTCACAGAACAATTCTAAATAAACTGTTTATAAACTGTTCATTTGTGGCTAGGTGGCTTCTGAAAAAGAGCTACAGTATATGGTTCAGTGGGCATCACCTGGTAAAATAACAAATGTTACGTTTTTAGTTAAGGGACTTGATGGCACGGTTTGGGGATGCCTCCATGCAGCCAGTGGAGGATTGATCGTGGCTGATGATGATGATGACGACGACGATAAGACGTGTTAATGATGTGCTAATTGTAATGGGCCGCTCGCTGGGTACGCAGCAGCCGATGAGATCCGTAGCCATCGCTCAAGTGGAGTTGCCCGAACGCTGAATCTGAGACCGTCTGCGGCTAAATTAGAACCTATTTTCGCACACGCTGGGATATCTCGGCATGCGAGACTTCTCCAAAGCAAATAGTCTCCACGCTGCTGCGTTGGATATGATGGCACGCACTCGGCTAATGTTGGAGCCCCACGGTTCAAGCTGCTGCTGCTTTTGTAGCAACAACACTACAACTAAACTATAAACAAGTTTTTTTTTTTATTTTACCAGGTAAGACCCCACTGAGCTATTTAGGTCTTTTTCAGAAGCGACCCAGTTTTCACAAATGGCTCATCATCACGTGGAGATTTATAGCCAAATACTATAAACGCGTGACGTTGATTCTAAATGTTGAGGGGGAAAAAACGGAGAAAAATCCACGCGACCACGGGGAGAACATACAAAATCAAAACATACAAAATAAAAACATACAGTCGTCAGGGGCCGGGATCGAACCCACGAAACTCCCGCATGCCAGGCGAGGTGAGTTCACATCATCTCGCCACCGTGGCACAGTCGGGTTTGTTACCATCGGGTTTATTGCCTTTTTATATTAAACCCGATCATCTGAGATTGGGAGAAATCCGGTTTAATTGGTTCTAATTGCAGAACCGCACTTCGCCAACTTCTCAACGACGGGCTTCATCCATTCCAAGCTCAGGAACTCACTGGCGCCCACGATTGTGGAGGAGAAGCTCGTGTTCATCAAGACCAACCTGCCCGCCGTATTCTACGACTACCCCGTGCCCGACGGCCCCCCGAGTACGACAGCAGCACCGACGAGGAAGCAGCCTAAGCCTCTCAGAGTTTCGTATTCATTAAACCAGGTTTTAATTCCCCGAAATCGGGTTTAATTGTATTAAAGAAAAAACCCGATGCCTGCCGCTGGAAAAATCGGGTTTTTTCCACCCATGGGTCTGCGTCCTGTCACCCGCACAGCCACCAGTGCGGGAGGCACAGTGCCTCCCGTGTCCACACGCATGCACGCACGTACGGCCTCTCGCCTGATAAAATACTTACAGCCCCCACATTCTTTCTCGGTGTGGGGGGGGGTGCTCCTTAAGTGTGGTATTCAGTGAAAGCGCCATTCACCCCCCCCTCCCTGTTTAAATATCCATTGTCACGCTCAGCCAGGGCTTTGTGAGGGCCTCGTGTCTTGGTTAACTGCCACGGGCAGAGAGCAGTATACCCCCCCCAACCCCCCCGCTGGACTTTTAAGTGCGCACTTAAAAAACCTCTCGCGGAGGCCGAGTGTAAATGCTTGGCCTTCACAGTTCTCTCGATTGCTCGCGCAGATGGAAGGACGCACATTAAACGAATGTTTTTGAATGCGAGAAAAACAACTGGGGCAGGGATGTCATTCATCGATAAAGTTTACGGCCCTCATCTCCCAAATAAACGCGGCGAGGTTCGATTCATAATTCGTTTTAAAGGATTTCCATTGTTGGGTTTGTTCACGTTGACAACCTTATTTATTTTGGCAGCGTCTGCTGGAGGAGGGTGTACCGCGCGCACATTGTCGGCTTTGTAGGCGCGCGGCGGCGATCGGTACCCACGAATCAATCGTGATATAGCGATGTCGGTCGCGGATGCCTTCTTTGTTGCACGTGCGTGTGACAAACGCAAAGCAGGGGAGTTTGTTCAGAGTCTCAGCCGGTGAAGCGGAGTGACCGTGGCCGACGCTGCTGCCCTCTGCGGGGAGAATCGGTGCCGGATTAAAGTTACTGTGGATTTTTGGAAGTTTCTTCTTTTTTTTAAATCCTTTATATTAAGTTCGCTTGCTTGCTTGCGTGCTTGCTTGCTTACGACCGTGCAACTCTTTCGGTCGTTTTTTAACCCACTTCCCGTGATCCAATCGAGCTGACATTTTGCACACAGACTCGTTGTGCGAGACAAGTAATGTTCGTGAAAATGTTTTTCTAAAATTTTACACTGTTTAGGGAAAACAAATTAAATATTTAATTACCAATTGTTTAATACTGGCAGACAATCATCTGACCCATAGGTGGCAGCCATCTCAAGCCAGAGGACGAGAGGACTCTAGCCGCCACGCATATAAAGGATTTATAGTGAAAAACTTTGTTTTTACGGGTTAATTTTTCACGTAATTGGTTTGGCACGTACGCTTCCGCGACCAATATTATTCGTGATGAAGGTTTGTTTGGGTTAGAACGCGTAAGTTTAAATGTGTCGTTAACCCGCCACCACCCGACATGGCCAGTAAGGGTTGTCACATAAACAAGACGCGTTAATTAGTTACTACTTCAGCCCACCGACGTGTTGGAGAGTAAATCCACAACACACTCGTAACGAATTGTCACGTTTTGTTTACGTGACAAACCTTACTAATTGACTGTGTCGGGTGGTGGCGGGTTTAACGACACATTCATGAATGTAGTTGCTTTTGCCATTTTGGTGAGCCAGGTCACTCTTACAAAAGAGACATGTCCTGTCTCTTGGTTCTCACCTGTGTAAACAAAATACACTTAAAATAAATCTGCTAAGTGGAATGACTTCGCTCATTATCTCTCTGGGGTGCGTAAAATCAGTGTCACTTTGTGGGGCGTCAGCGGTGGATTGTTCAACGAAGAGATTGGCCACTGTGGCATTTCCATCGCTGGCTTGGTGCCACAGAGAGAAGTAACACGCCATACGATTAAGGAGATGCTGTCATTTCACTTGTCCATCATCATCGGCCTTGGTCAATCCACTGCTGGATGAAGGCCTCCGCTAGCCGCCGCCAACTCATAATCCAGCGATGCAAGCGATTAACTTGAAACTCGGTTAATCATTTAAATGTGGCGGTGCGTGAATCTGTCTAATCAATACTATTGCCTTCTGGATACTTTCTAAAAAAAACGAGCACTCTTTTGTTAACTCCTAATCACTGGAACTTAAAATAACACGGAACAACAACAAGGGTTGGTGTACCCTTGCGTCCATTTATTCTGCAATGCAGCTTCCAAGACAACGACAAAGATCCGCTGTATAGCCTGAGCAGACTGTTGGGGCAAGTGCTGTTTAGCGAGCACCTACGAAGGCAATGCAGAAGACGCACGCACGGATCCGACCCCACATCGTGGAGTGTTCTTTATGTTTGAAGCAAGTTGCGTGTTCTTTGTGTATGGGATTAGCGGCAGGGGGAACGGGCTGTCTATGCTGTTGCTGGTGTTGAGTGACGATTATCTGAACCGGTCCTGGGCACCCCCTCGGTCAACTCAGCCTCAAATGAGTACCTGGTGCGGTGTGTAAAAATCGCCACCAGGGATACGAAGGCGGTCAAGCGTGGTGCTGGCCACCCGCCCCCTTGTGTGCCGTTCCGGCCTTCATAGGTGCTCGCTAACAGCACTTGCCCCATCAGTCTGTTAAGGCTGTACGGGGGGATTTTTGTCTTTGGTGTTGAGTGGAGATGTTTCGGCTCGGGGCGCGGTGTGGCTTCAAGCTGGGCCAGACAGGATGGTATGCATTTTTTTTTTATTTTGGCAGTTGGGGAAAAACCAACTTTTGAATTTTAACAGTTGGGGGGGGGGGCCTCCTGCACAGACGGTTGACGGTTGGGATTGAACCATGTTTTGAAACGAGCCAGTGGGGGGCGGGGGGGGATGTGGAAAGAGGTTGGTGCCTTACAAGCCGTGCTGGGTCCGAGTCCTCCCGCACATGCTTTGTGTGTGTCGCGCGCTTTTGTGTCGCGAAACCACATCCAAGTGGCGGTGGGGGCCGGTGGTGGTGGTGGTGGCGGCGGCTTCCTGCTGCCCCCCTGCTTTTCTCGGCAGCAGTGTTTTTTTTGAGAAATGACCGGTGGCTGCTAACCATGAGCCTTGCCAGCCAGCGGAAAAAAATACACAGCAGATGCTTGTGCATCATTCCGCGCTTTTAATACGCAACTATAAGAGGAGTGGATAAAATATTTTTTGGGAAGGAAATACGAGCGTACAGTTATTTCTGTTTATACAGAAGTTACTCTCTCAAACGAATTAATTATTTACGTAATATATTAAACTTGGCCCGCTTACTCACTTGAGATAGATGTGGTCGTACAGAGTTGAGTGATGGCTCATTTTCACGAGAAGCGACCAGGGAGAGGATCCTGTGGCTTCCACACAGCGAGGGGTTGGTTACGCGGCTGCGCAGAACTTACCTGGCGTGTGTTTCTAGGTTGTGCCCGCGGGTGTTGTTTGGCACCCACGTCCTTCCAACAACATTGCGGCAACAAACCTCAAAGTGGTGCACCTGGCCTGGCACAGGCGCCGTGGTGACGTCGCCGTCACTTAGTGGCGAATGGCGGTTGTTGGCACAAACGGAAAACACATCAGAGATCTGCACCCACGCAATTGATGATGAACTTTCCATGACCTTTGACCTAGGTCAAAAACACTCACGGCCAGAAAAAATACCACTACTAATCTAATGTATGTTGAACTTATTTCGCACCATACGTAGAATTATTTGACGTTTCTAAACTTTCTTCCCATTTCTCCAAAAATAATTCAGCTGAGAGTTCAGATGGGGTCAACAGTGATGCGATGGCAGAGGGCGGAAGAGTCAGGCCACTCAATGCAATGCCGCCTCGTTTACGATCATAGCTTAGACAACGGCGTTTCCTCATTCTGTAGGATAGCCTGCCATACCTGTCAACCTCTTATCAGTGCCCTACCTTATTACAGACCAATTCAGACCTTATTGGTCACCCCGTGCCCTTATACATCTCAACATTCATCCTGCAAAGGCCCATCACAAGGGAGAAACACAAACAAACAGACAAAAACATTGTTTTGCCCGTATTGAAACGGCTGTACCGCCGTATGGACCTGAAAACTCAAATTCCCTGTACAAGAATACGGAGTAAACCATATGGGTCGACATCCGTGGCCTGCTCGCAACCAAGAAAACCATATCGAGAACTCGGGCTGGTACCAGGGCCTTCTCTTGCGCTCCACCCACATCCAGGAATGTCCTCGTCATGACCAATCTTAACATCCCACACTCACCGCCTCCAGCCCTGTTAATAATAATGACATTTTTTGCGACTTTTCATCAAGATATCTCAAAGCGCTGTACAGGACACAGCAGCAGCAGCGGACACTCAGCATAAAATAAATAAATAGATTTTAAGAATCATTTACGAAATGAACTAAAAGTTTAATAAGCGGAGGCCGTGCCACCATCGCTGTCAACTCTGCAGCCGAGCTCCATTTTGTTCGAGGCTGTGCGCACGGCTTATTTGCACGTGTCGTCTGTGACAGGGATTGTCGACACTTTTGTTGATTTATATAGAAGCACTGTTTATCGTTTATTCTGTTTGCAGTTAGTTCTGGCCTTGGTTTTGTGTAAATAATTATTTGTTGTTGTTTGTGCTCTTATTAGTTTGCACATTTCCTCCCCCTTGAAATGTCCTGCAACTGCCACCACTGCCTATGGCCTTGGGCCATGGTCTGTGAGTTTGTGTAACTATGGATCTCTGCGTAACTCTGCGTATCTCTATGTAACTTTGTACCTCAATGTAACTCTATGGACATCTGTGTAACTCCATGGATCTCTGTGTCACTTGATGTATCTCTATGCAAGTCGATGGATCTCTGCGTAACTCTAAGTATCTCCATCCAACTCGATGGATCTCTGCGTAGCGTCACGCAACTGTAATGTCCTGGATCTGCCGCCACTGCCGACGGCCTTGTCCTGTGGTCGTCCTTGTAACGGAGCTGCTTCACTCAATGGGGCTTTAGCAGCTGAGTCTGAGTTTGGCTCAAATAAGACGCCAATGTTCCCGCGACCTTCCAGTTACAATCCCACGGGGCGTATGGTCAGGACGGCCCTCCTGTTACAGTGCGATTAACTGCAGAGATGAAACCGTGACAATGATGCTTTTCCATTAGGGCATGCGCCCGCCAGTAAGATAAAAACATATTTAGCTTAGTTTTGTAAGTGATTTGTTTACCTTTCCGATAATTTGCATTCCAACCGTGTTTTTGTACTGTTTGTTGTTGTAACGATCTGATCTGCCCCTATTGGACATCTGTGAAAAAGAGCTTTATAGCTCATCGGCTTCCTCCAGTATGAATTAGTAGTCTAATTCTGAGTAGGGCAGCATGTTAACGAGTGCACGGTTGTACAGCGTGCACAGAGGCGTGATGGCATCGGGTCCCACCGCCCTCATTGTCAGCCATGGTCTATCCGCTGCTGGATGAAGCCCCCCCCCCCCCCCCCCCCCCCGATGCAACAGGCCGTCTCGGTCCTGCGCACGAGCCGATCTCGTCGCCCCATCTCCCCGCGGTGGGCGAGCATACTCTCAGCTGCGTTTCTCTCCTTTGGCTGCCATTCCGTCGCTCCTCTCGACCACCGGCCGTTGTTCCATCAGGGCCCCTCCGACATGCCGTGGAGGTTCGCCCGCAGTTTCCAGGATTGCCACTGGAGGGAGACAGGGCCTCCTTGCTTGCTTGCGTCCAGCAGCTGCACGGATTCACGTTTGCCTTCCAGTCTGTGCTGCGAATAACCCTTTGTGATGGGGAGTAATAAGATTACCAAAGAAACGTTTACCAAAGTAATCCCATGCTCCCACTTCGCCGGGGTGACTTGGAAGCAATACGCTTATCAGAATCAGAATATTGTTTTATACTGGAAGAATCCGATGACCGATAAAGCTCTATTTTAACAGATGGTGAGAACGTTACAACAACAAACAGCACACAAACACGTGATAGTCGTGCAAAGTACAAGAAAGGTAAACAAATTACCCAAACTCGTACAAATAAAACTTAACCATCACAATCCAAGCAGGCTACGCCCACTGAGGTATGAGCTTATTTTTCCGAAGTGACCTGGCCACAAACGATAGCTCAACAAAGTGGCTCATCATTTGGATATTTATACCAGCAATATAATCTAAATAGTTTCAACGGATGATTCTAAATGTGAGGAGAAAAACCGGAGGACCCGGAGAAAAAAATTACGCGACCATGGGGAGAACAACTCCAAATATACAGGCATGAGGTTTAGGGCCGAACCTGCATAACAGGGAAGGTATTTTTTTCACTGCCCAAATAAAATGACTAGCCCATCAATCAATGGCCCATCAATCAATGGGCCAGGACATACTGTCGGGCGATAGAGAAGTATGAGGCTCAATCATGAGGTCGTAAGTTCACTTGTCTATTCTGGAAAAAAATGTAGACGATGGATATTTAAGTCTGTACTTGAGTCGACAAAACACAGAATGGAAACACACGGCCCAGCGGTAACGCGTTCACCGCCTGCTGTAGAGGTTTGACGGTTCAAATCCGGTGGCCGCCCTGGTTATTACCGCCTGTGTCATAACCAAATTTGCCCAAAAATAAGTTTTTAATTACCCTGAACATTGCTCTTTTGGAATATACACGGCAGTCAATGCCCCCTGCAGCGAACGACTCGGCATGACTCTCCGGGACAAAAGTCACGAGATTCACGTCGAGTTGTCTTGGGTCAGGGGTCGGGAACCAAAATGACAAGAAGAGCCATTTTTTTTTTATTCAGTAAAAAAACCTCAATATTTCAAGAGTCGGTGGGTCCTTAATAAGTAACGTCACGGAGCAGTATTCAAAGAGCCGCATGCGGCTCAAGGAGCTGCAGCTTGCCGACCCCTGTCCTGGGTAAAACAAGGTAATAATGAGAAAACCCTATTCTTATTTTTCATCACTTTCTAGTTTTTAGAGCAATGCACCAATAAACTCCAATAGCACGGCACTCTCCACCAACACACAGCTACTATTACATGCTGCGATAACAGACGAGCGCCTTCGCGGCCCACTGCGGCTATTTCCCACAGCGCACACACCAGGCTTGGCATCTCCACGTATGTATGTATACTGTGTATACTCTTTGCTTCTTTCGGTAAAGTCACGTAGGTGCAACAGTTCTCCTGTTGTATCAGTTCCACCTGATGACGGTCGTTTGCGTTGCGATCGAAACGTCGTGATTTATTTTATTTTCTACCTACGTGACTTTACCGAAAGAACCAAAGAGTATGGATTCCTGCAGTCACGAAAGCTTCAAATCAAGATCATACTCTATATGTTTAACTTCTTTCGCACCGTACGTAGCCAAATTCGCTAATCGGATGTGCGGTGAGGGGGGAGGGTACAACAGCTGTGGAGATCTCTCGCGGGGCTACCGCGCACGATGGTGACGATTCAATCACCGCCCTGCTGCATTGTGACGTCCATCCGCTCCTTCCCGTCCCCTGTGCCCTTTCGTCATCCCCAAGTACCCCTCTATCGCTGTCACTCATTCCTCAGTCCTTGCACGCCCCTGCCGTCTAAATCATTCTCCTGCGTCACCGTTTTTTTTCTTTTAACTTGGTCAAGATCCTTGAGCGAAGGTGCTCTATAAATATAAAATGAGATTAGAAATTAGATCACTGAAGGTACGGCACTCTCAAGCACGCAACGCGTGACCCTAAGAGATCGGATGCCGAGTCGGCAACAATCCTTACACGGATGTTTTACGCGGATAAAATGTGTCGGAGTGCAACGCCGCATATTCCACTCGCGGTGGACTGCTGGGCGGGCGGATATGTGAAAATGTTTGATTTGTGAACATGTCTAGAAAATGACAGTTACACTGTAGTGCGCAAATGGGTCGCTGCGTGGAACGTGGGCCAACGCGTTGCTGTACTCTTGAAGCGAGAGAATGTGCGTGAGATTAAGCGGACAATTTGTCCTCCTACAACGCGTAGTTTTCATAACGCGAATTGGATATAACGCGATGAATGTATTAGGGATTAGGGATTAATAAATGAACAAACACATTTTTATAACGCGGATGCGAACTGGATATAACGCGATCGAGCGAACAGAACTACGTTGCGCGAGTAGTAACAAGCGATTGTACGGCTGCCTCGGCGTAGCATCGCACGAGGCAGTGGGATGCTGCTGGATGCTTCTAGATGCTACCCACGCGCCTCGGTCTTTGCTCAGCCTGCGTTACGCATCTCACGTGTTATCGCGGACTCTGCTTTACCCTGCATTATACATTCTTTATTAAAACGCGACATTTTCATACCGTGGTGTAATTTGTGGCCTGCGGTAGTTTGTAAGTTTTTTTTGCGTAACGCGTTCGTGTTCGAGGTATCCACGTCAGAAAGCTGGAGGGGGGATTTTGAGGATGGGAATTAGTCCGGCAC